GTTTTCGCTTCGTTCTTGACAGAGATCCTCACAATCGAAGGTCGATGACCCACCAAAGACACAGCATCCTCCATGATTACAGAATCAAGAAACCCTAATTCAATCCCAAGTCTCAAAATCGCCTTAATCGTCGAGAGCTCTTTTTTTTTCTAGGCTTTGTCGAAAATGACTTTTTTTTTTACTCCCCCAGCCACTGCCAAGTCATGCCACGTCAGTAAGGATCAGTCTCGTGAATCCTTGTTAACGTTACCAATCCTTAAGTAAATTGCCATTAATATTAGTATTATATTCAAATAATGTTAAGGATCAGTGTGATGTTACCGCGTTGGAGGTGGTCTAAGGATCAAATCCTTACTGACGTGGCATGTGCAGGTATATCGTTTTAAAAAAAAAAATTCATTTACGACTAAGTTAAAAAAAAAAAAAAAGCTCTGGCGATTTCGAAGACGGAGCATCACGGTAAATCCTTCCTTTCCTTTGTTGATTTATGGATGTAATCGACTAGGGTTTCAATTTAGGGGTCTTGCATGATGTTTTCCTCGCGATTTAGGGTTTGATTTTGTTGTTTTGGAATCGATTTGGGGATGTTCTCGATTGGGGGTTTTCAATCGATTAAGGTTTCTCAAACCCCTCTTTGATACCGACATGTCTTGGTCGTTTTCCTCCTTGTTACCCTTCACGTTCCTCGTTTTCAGTTTTGGTAAGTGTTCATTTGATTACTTTGTTTCTGTCAAAAATTGTAAGAGAAGGAAGAAGAGAAGACACAGCTTCGTTGATACAGGATACTCGTCGTCTCTTCATACAACTTATTTACAAAGGTTCTTTCTTTTTTCTTTCCTCTTTTCAGAAGCTTTACTGTTTGATACAATCTCTCTCTTCCCTTTGTTGTTTCAAAGCTTGTTTTTTTATTTGCAGCTTCTAGGTGGAGTCTTTAGCATTCTCTGTGAAAAATAAAATCATGAGCTTGCTGGAGATACGTGATCCAACCAACTCTAGAGGCTTCTTGATTGCAGATGAAAAGGTTAGTATTATTGCAATCATCATTATATCAGCAGTTTTTTTTTCAAAACTATAGTCTTAGTAGAAATCTCTGTTTCTGCTAATAATATCAGATGCAAGGAGCTGTTTTTGATCTACCAGAGGACATCACCAAAGAGCTACTAGAGAAAGAAATGCCAGAAGGAAACAGTGTATCCATGATTACAAATGTATTTTATACAACATAACATATTCACAATAAGACTCTTTTTTACTAACAACTCTTATGGGTTTTGATTTTTAGTTGCCTGCGTTGCAAGACGATGGGCTATCTAGTGATAACTATGGACGGTTATCTAGCAGAGACAGGATGCCTAGAGGCGGAGGAGGGGGCTCTAGAGGGTCAAGATTTGGAGGCTGAGGTGGCTCTTCCCGAGGATGTGATAGTTGGGGAGGTGATGATAACAGAAGAGGTAGAAGCAGTGGTGGTGGAGGAAGTAGCTGGTCACGTGGTGGTGGTGGTGGTTCCAGAGGAAGTTCTGATGATTGGTTGATTGGTAGTGACAGAAGATCATCATCAAGCAGCAGAGCTCCTTCCCGGGAGGTGAGTTTTTTTTTTGTTTGAGCTTTAAATGAATATATGGTAAAACCTGCGACTTGTCCTATTTAACTGATTGATTGATGTTATGTTAATTAGGAGTTTTGGAGGTGCTTGCTTCACTTGTGGAAGTTCAGGACACAGGGTAGCAGATTGTCCTGACAAAAGAGGGTTTTAAAGTGTTCTTAATTAATGGTTTCTGCTCTTTTAAGAGAGTGACCCCTTGTCTTTTTGGTGTTCTTGATACCATATCCTATAAATTCTTTTAGACAACCATTGTTCTCCAGTGGTTTTGACAGTTTTGTTCGTAGGGTTGAACAAGGGACATGTTGTCACCAGACGCGAGTTGGCTCCTCGTCCTCATTCTCGGAAAGGAGTACGTTTCTCTCTAAGCTTGACATTCTTTAAACTTTCATGTGTTTTATTATGTGTGTTTTGGATTTGGAAAGAATTGTGTCCATGATTGGTGATTATTAATTTTTTTATTTCTAAGAATTTTGTAATGGATAACACCATTGGAGGTGTAGTTGTGATTAGAGTCCTTCACTATTTAAACAAAAAAAAAAGTTTAAAAAAAATATTAATCTAATGTTAAGGACTCCAATGGTGGGTAACACCATTGGAGGTGCTCTTAGATCTACTAGCGATTAGCCTATTTCCTTTTTCCCTTTGATATGAATAACGAAGAAAAAAAGTTTTACGGATACTATAAAATAAAATATATTAAAATCTAACGCACAACTACAATTAATTATTAAAATTGTTTTGATTTCCGTTTGATTTAATAGTGTTTTTTTAATCAGATTTACAATTTTAGTTTCCTTTTTTTCATTATATTTTTCCAAACAATATAAATAAGAAAAGAAAAAATCTATAAAACTCATTTGACATGTTCTTATATAGAGAATTAACAAGCAGCCCAACAAGTACTTAAACGAGGTCCAACAATGAGTCTTTGTGTGCTTGACCTGGATTTATCATCCTCATCCTCATAGTCTCTGTTGTGCTCAAAAGTATCAAAGCTCAGTGAATTTCAAATTTCAGATCTCTTCCTTTCCGAAAATGGGCATTTCTTTCTCGATACCTTGTGATCCTTGTACAAAATAAAATCTGTCACTGGCTAGACGAGAGAATACCTTGTCTACACGATCTGAAGAAGAATCTCACGTCTCTAGCAACAATCATGGAAGAGTTCAAGGCTAAGCAGGATGATTGGTCAAGAAGAATCACAAGTGAGGAGGATACAGGTTTTCAAAGGCTTGCCGAAGTTCAGGTATGGCTAGATAGAGTTGAAACTATAGCAAAAGAAGTCGACGATCTCATTACTGCTAGAGATGTACAACTTCAAAAGCTGTGTCTCTGTGGGTTTTGTTCATATAGTTTAAGTTCGAGCTATAATTATTCTAGAAGTGTTATTTTGACGTTGAGGAAAGTTGAGAAACTCAAAAACCAAGTTTTCGATGTGTTGGTTGAGCAAGCTAAAACATCTGAGGTGCAGGAACAACAAATTAAACCGGTAATTGTTGGGCAAGAAACAATGCTCGACAGGGCATGGAAACAACTTAAGGAAGATGGAGTTGGTATTATGGGCTTGTATGGTATGGGTGGAGTAGGCAAAACAACGCTTCTTACGCAGATCAACAATAAGTTCAGTGACGACAAGTGTGGGTTTGATTTTGTGATTTGGGTTGTGATTTCTAAAGACTTACAGTTAGATAACATTCAAGATGAGATCGCTCGAAAAGTTGGTCTTGCTGGAGAGGAGTGGAGACAAAAACAGAAAAGCCAAAAGACGGAGGATATGTACAATTTCTTAAGGAAAAAGAGATTTGTCTTGCTTCTAGATGATATATGGGAGAAGGTAGATTTAACTAAGATTGGAATCTCAATTCCGACAATGGAAAATCAATGTAAAGTGGCATTCACTACTCGCTCTCAGGATGTATGTGCACGCATCGGAGTCGAGGACGCAATGGCAGTCCAATGCCTCTCGGACAATGACGCATTTGATTTGTTCCAAAAGAAGGTTGGACAAGTAACGCTTGGAAGTGATCCAAAGATACCTGATCTTGCAAGAACGGTTGCTAGAAAATGTCGCGGCCTACTATTGGCGCTTGAAGTCATAGGCGAGACCATGTCATGCAAGAGGACGGTAGAAGAGTGGCGTCATGCGATACATATTCTGACCTCATACGCTATTGAGTTTTCTGGCATGGAAGATAAGATCCTTCCGCTTCTGAAGTTTAGTTACGATAATCTTAAAGGAGAGGATGTCAAATCGTGTTTTTTTATATTGTGCTTTACTTCCAGAAGATTACGAAATTCTTAAAGAAAAATTTATTGAGTACTGGATATGCGAAGGGGTCATAGATGCAAGTGAAAGGTATAGAAAAGTCTGAGAACAAAGGTTATGAAATAATTGGTAGTCTTGTTCGTGCATCCTTGTTGATGGATCGTCATGGAACTAAGAGTGTGTGTATGCATGATGTTGTTCATGAAATGGCCTTGTGGATTGCATCTGATTTGGGAAAACAAAAAGAGGCATTCATCGTGGGTGCCGGCGCTGGGTTAGGTGAAATGCCAAAGGTGAAGAATTGGGAAGTGGTGAAAAGAATGTCATTGTGTGAGGATGGCATCTACAGGCTCTCTCGAAGTCCTAAATGTCTCGAACTCAAAACTTTCCTCTTAAAATCAGCGGGAGTACGAAGTATCTCGAGTGAGTTCTTTGAATACATGCAAAAGCTAGTTGTTTTGGATTTTTCTCATAATGGAGATCTCTCGGAATTGCCGAATGGAATATCAAAACTAGTTTCCTTGCGATATCTCAACTTGTCATGGACGCGTATACGTGCTTTGCGCATGGATCTGCTGCAAGCGTTGGAAAATCTAATTCACTTGGATTTGAGGGAAACACATGAACTTTGGAGTATTGCTGGGATGTCACGTCTGCATAATTTGAAAATACTGAAATTATCGTACTCTTACTTTTCATGGGACAGCTACACAGTGGAAGAGTTGGAAACTTTGGAGCATTTAGAAATTCTAACCATGGGATTCATGATAACTCAAAGCTTGGAGCATTTTTTGAGATCCCATAAGCTGATGAGCTGTACACGGTCTATAGAGTTCTGGGATTCGAGGGGTTTGTCAGATAAGCGGGAACCATCTAACATATCACTTCCAGTAGCTATGGATAAGCTTCGAGATTTCACCATTCGGGATTGCAGTATCTCTGAGATAAAGATGGAAAATCCAAGAAGCCATGACAAAATCTTCTTGAACCTCTCCTTCGTGGAGATAGTTGGCTGCGATCGCTTGACAGAACTGACGTTGCTGATGTTCGCTCCAAATCTTAGAAGTCTTTCTGTTGTACAAGCATATAACCTTGAAGATATAATAAACAAAGAGAAAGGTCGGGAAGGTGACCAATCAGGGATTGTTCCTTTTCAAATCTTTAGCTGGATAATCTACGGGAGCTTAAGAATATCTGTTGGAATACTCTACCTCTCCCGTATCTACAAAAAATCCATGTATCAGGATGTCCAAATCTGAAAAAGCTTCCACTTAGATTCCCAAAGTGGCAAACATGGTGATGATGGACTATTCATAACATATACAAATCGAGGATGGATTGATGCTATGGTATGGGAGGACGAAGCTACCAAAAACCGCTTCTTAGCTTCATGCAAAGAGGTATAAAATTTCTCTCATCTTCCCTTGTTTGTTTCTAAAAGGATTTTTCATCGTGTTATACTCATCCGATCTTTTGGTTGCCATGTCTCCCTCTTTTGTATGTGTTAGGTTTCATTACGACCAGATCATTAATCATTGAAGGTTCCAAGTGGATGTTGTCATTTGGGTTTATTCCAAAGGGAAAGTCTTTATCTCTCTATGCGTTTGCTTTCTTTGAATCTTCGGTCTCTCTCCACCCGTTTGCTTTCTTAGAATTATTTATCCTTTAAGAAAAAAATACTATGGGTATAGATTAATTAAGACTATGGGTATAGTATCTATTTACCTATTTACAGAAATTTTGTCATTTTAATTCTCGTGTGATATAATTATGGTAAAAAGAAAATTTGTGTTCTCCAAAAGAATTTATCATAATATTACTATAGTGATGAGAAATCCCTGAGTTCTAAACTCAATGGAGTTGCTCGTAGCCTCTTCGGTCTACTCCATCTTTGCATATACACAAGAAAGATATTTCACAAAGAAAAAATAATAGTTGTTATGAAAGAAGAGATGATATGAATAAATGTAACTTGGATAAAGAAATATACTTTTGCTTCATGAATGTGTCAATCCAAAGTTGTACAATTGCTTTGTTCTGAATAAATACTTTAATTATTTTCTAAACATTTCTTTTTCTATATTATGACAATGAAAGTTTTGCACTTTCTAACAAAAGTTTACAACTTACAAGTGAATGTTTATTTAGAAAGAAGAAAAGGTAAAAGACCTTTGTTTAATGCGTATATAAAGAGAAATCTTGGTAAGCTTGAGAAACCAAGTGATGATCTTCCCATTCGTCTCTGTACGTCTCTGGTTTTGTTCTCTTCCTCTCACCAGTCACTAAATACATCTCTTTCCTCCACTCCTCTGTTCCTGGGCATCCACATTGCATAGCCAACCAATCATTGTACTCAAACTGTAAAACAAAAACAAACAAAAAACTCGTTAATGTGTGTCCCTTTTAGATTTGGTTTCTGAGCAGAAGCACAAGTTTAAGGAGAGATTCTTACTTGTGCAATGCCCATACGATGAGTATAGCGCTTAGGAATCCCTTGAGCTTCAAGTGTAGCATAGAAGGATTTGATATCCTTCATCATATCTTCTTTAGATGGGAGCATAATCCGACCTGACAAAACACCCGCGATCCACTTGCTTTGTAGCTCAAACAAAGGAAACGGTACAACCTGAAAAATCAAATTTGCTAACAGATTATTGAAGATAGTAAAAAATGTTTCATATTCGTTTTAGGGTGATAAAGAACTGTGTTACCTTCCATGGTATCCCGATGAAGGAGAGCCATGGTGCTAATTCTGGAGGAAAGACATCTTTGTACAATGGACCGACACGGTTATCATCTACAATAACACTTCCATTGGTTTCAAGAAACGGGAAGTGATACTTATACCCAGTACAATGCATAATAACATCAACCAAAATCGTTTGCCCGTTTTGAAAAACCACAGAACCATCCTCATGGACACGCTCAATCTGCGTTGAGATTCAAGAAAACGTTTTGAATGTTATTTCTCTAGATCAAGAGAAACGTGGTAAGAAGTACTAGTTATGAGTTAAACCAACCATTGAATGCATCCACAAGTTACTGTAACCGGGCTGTTTGATAAACGTATCAGCTGCATTTGACCTACAAGCAACATGAACCTCTTTGGCAAATCCAGCAATGTCTCTACTTATATCAACAGCACTTGCAGAGTTCCCAATAAGAACAACAACCTATATAACCACAAGCTTCCACATGAAATTATGGCCTTGCATATTTTTCACATAAGAAAATCTAACAAATCTAATATTGTTCAAGAGTACCTGGTCTTTAAAAGGTTCAGGGATGCGATAGTTATGGCTATGCATCTCCTTCCCTGGCCAAGAACTTATTCCTGAAAATATTTTTATCAGAAAATCACTATCAGGCTTATCATTTCAAGCGTCAGTTTCTATGGAAACACGTTACACACCAAACACGTAACCCTGGTTTGGGTTGGGTTTTCACATGCCAGCTTCCTAAACCCAGTTCAGGTTTTATATATGATCCGGTGAGATTCAGTTAATAACATTTCAGGTTCGGATATAAATTAAAACCACATGTAAAACCCATTTTTGAAACAGAATTTATAGTTTAGATTCAGATAATACAACTTTGGGTTCCATTTGTACTTAGCTAGTTTATTCGTGTACTAATTCGGACCTTAGAGTACGGTACTTATTCGGTTTTTGGGTACTAGTTTGGATTTGAATCCGATTCGGATAATAACTAATATCCGAAATACCCTTTTCAAGATCCGTTCTGGTATGTTTACAAATCGAATCAGGTACGATTCAGATTTTTCCAGATGCTGAAATCACAAACATTGCAAAGGGAAGAATCACAACCACACTAATAATGACTCATCACTAAAGCTTGTGTTCCACTCATCCTATGAAATTCTTATTCTACATTCTTTATCTGACACAAAGATAAAAAGCTTCAAAAGGCTGAAACTTCAAGAATAGAATCTAAAAGTTATGGTCCAAACTCCACTTATCACTAAAGCTTATATTCCACTTTTTTTCAGACAAGAAAACACACATTAGTTTCGATATTCCTTACCAGGAATCTCAGCGAGACGAGGCTCAATGTAATGCCCATTACAAACAACAACAGCATCATAAACCTCATCACGACGAACACTCTCCTCCTTCTCCGTAGACTCAACCCTCCACTTCCCGCTCTCACCCTCCGTCGCCACCGGAGCAACCCTCTCAACCTCCGTCTCGAACCGCACCATCTCCTCGATCTCAAACTCCTTTGCGAACTCTTGAAGATACGCAAGAACCTCTCCGTGACTCGGAAACCTCCTCTGATCACCGGACCGGACCGAGAACGGGAAGTCTCTGTACCCCATGCACTCCCGAGGGAGGTTGGTCCGGAGAGTGGCGTAGACGCTCGAGTGAACTACGGGTCGGGTCGGGTCAACGCTTAGCGGGTCCGGTTCGACGTGGTCGGTGTAGATCCATGTTCCTCCGACTTGTTTCTGTCTCTCGAAGACCACGACTGAGTGGCCTTCTCGACGAAGCTCTCTCGCCGCGACTAGACCGGCGGCTCCGGCTCCGATGACTGCCACGTGGTGAGATCTGAGTGGTGATAAGGAAGGTGCCATATGAGATTCGTAAAGAGACGGAGGAATATTAAACGCGGCGTTAGCTGTGATAAGTATGGCCCACAAAAGTGTTTGAACCACAATTGTACTTTTCAACGTAAAATCCTTGAATGTAGTTAAACGCAGCGTTTTATGTAGTTAATTGACAAAGCATTAGCATAATCAGTATTCTCTTTATTATACGATCAATATTTATCAAATAAACATTTACTAAATACTAATGCTCTCACATATTGAAAGAATAATTGCAATTTAAATATATAAAACTTCAAATATAATTATATGTAACAAATTTATTTTTATTTGATAAGATAAAAAATATTTTTATAATAAAAATAAATTTTAAAATTGTATACTACTATGCCAATTATTTTATTAAAATTTTTAAGGAAACCATATAATTTTTTCAGCATACTTTTTTCTATAACAGTGTGTTGCTGCTTTAACACCTGTTATACAAATCGAGGCATAAGCCATCTAGTTGCTTGCAACCCAAGCAATGCTAAATCGTTAGAAAAAACAAAATTGTATCATATGTATGGGCATTAGGTAGGATATTATTTGGATATTATTCTGATTTTTTGGGTTCAACCTTTTAGACAATTTTTGATTTTTGGACTCAACCTTTTACACAATTTTTATGCATTTATTATTTTTCAAAATAAAAATAAAAAACGAGTTTTGTAATAGTAGAGCTGTGATAAATTACAAAGTATTCTTTTAAAATAGCCCGCAACTAATAGAAAAATAAGAGGTAAGTTCTTTTGTTTGATTCTCATCTCGATATTGGGGTTGCAATCACGAAAGGTTTATGAGGTTTTGAGATTTTGGAATTCCGATTTGTAGTCTTTGGTTCCGATTTAGGTTTTATTTGTTGGAGTTTTAAAACTTATTTGATGGGTTTTGGAGTTGTGGATTCAAGATTAAAAGTTTTATGTTCCTGATTTTTAGGATTTTTTCCCGTGTTTTATGTCTAAGATTGTTGTTGTGTTATTTGTTAGTCTCACAGAGGCGGTAGAACCAGAGGTGATGACGAAGAGAAGTTTTTTGATTATGTTGGTGAGAAGCTCCCACACCGCACCGGGTTGGTTCTGTCGGAGGTGCAAGATGTTGAGCATGATCCAAAGGTTAGTGTTGTATTTTTGGGTTTTTTGCTCTGTGTTTTTGCACCTTTGGTGTACATGTGGACGGGTAGGCTTGTTGTACATGTGTACACATATGCTTCGTGTCTATGTGTACACTTTGGGTCACTGTACATGTGTACTCTAAGGTTTTGTAATGTGTTGAGGTTTTGTGTGTTTTGTGTGTATATTTGGATGCACCTTGTTGTTAAATCGATGGTGGAGCGTATGGAGGACAAGGAGGCTGGTTGGGGAGAGTTTGACTGTGAGATTTCTGATACGTCACAGCTATGTTCCAAGACACACACGTGCCGACCCAAGACACAAGATTATGAATTGTAGCAATATATTATATAAAGCCAAATTGTATCTGCATATTTTGATGATCAAGCCAAATTGTTTCCTCATGTATATTGTAGATTTGTATAAATAAGTAGTGGACATAAGTCTTGTTATACACGTGTACATGATCAAGCCATAGTCATGTGTACAATATCCTCATGTACATTGTAAATTTGTATAAATTAGTAGTATACATAGGCCT